GGAGAGTGAGGGGGCAGAGTGGGTGGTAAGGAAGGGGGTGGGGGCAGGGGGGAGAAATGACTCAAGCCTTGTATGCACATATGAATAATTAAATAAATAAATAAATAAAATAAACCCTTGTATCTCTATGGCTATGGTTCTTAAACTTGGCTGCACAGTAGACTCTCCCTGGGGAGATTGAAAGTTGGGCCTACTTCCAGAGGTTTTGATTGAATTGTTCTCAGTGGGACCCAGATGATCAGATTTCAAGAACATTAGGAAAATCTAGTGGACAATCAGTTTGAGCACAACTATCTGTGGCTTATGGCCCACAGTGCAGTCAGGATGACCCTTTTACATTATGTGTCACTCCATGCCAGTTTTCTACTCAGTTCTGCTCTTGCTGTAATAATATCAACAAAAAAGCTCATGCTCTAACAGTGGCCCACAGGGTCCATGGGGTCTGACCCATTATTCCTCCAATTTCAGCCCCATGCAGCCTCTCCTGGGTGATGCTACTTCATCCACACTGGCCTCTTTAGTATCACTTCACGCATCTCTATCTCAATGACTATACCTTTTGTTCCCTTCACCTCAAACATTATTCCCCAGGAGCCTTATGACTTGTCTCCTCTGCCCCACAGCCCTTCTCTCCAGGTCCCTGCTCCAATATCATCTTATCAGGATGACTTTCCCTTCCTCTCTTTTTAATACAGCAGCTCTCATCACTCTCCATCATCTTACCCTGTTTTGTTTTCTTCACAAGCCTTTAATCCAACAAATGCATGAATGTTATATATGAATTTGCTATTTCTTACTGTTCCACTCCACAGAAAGTGTAAACTGCATGAGGGCAGTTTATTTTATACTCATGGAACAGTCCCCAGCATACAGTAGCCACTCAGAAGTGACAGGTGACAGACAGGTGATGAGCTGCTCCTTTCCGTGGTTGTTGCAGGCAACCATGCAGGTGGCAGCAGCCTGTACATTGGCATGGTTAGAATCCTACTCACAGCCACTTCCTTTATTTCAATGGCTGAAAAAATGAGAGCATCTGATTCATGAACTTGGCAAGCTCATCCCATCTGTGTTCGCCAAAGTTGGAGAGGAATGGCGCCCTCTGAGTTTCTGATGGATTCATCTACATGAGTAAGAAGCATAATCTGCTTTTTGGAAAAACTGGATTGAGTTTTTTTGTTTGTTTCCTTTGGGAAATTTTATACTAAGTGGATTGAAGGACATGACTTTGAACTTTGAAAGTCTACATCCAAACATTTTATTAAGCTTATTTGGGTTTATAGAACATTGAAAGACCATCCAAACTTAAATGGGGAGGCTAACTGAACTGATGGATGCAGACAGTTTTTACCCCTGCCTTTGAGCTGTGTGGATGATAGTGATGCCTCTGTGCCTGAGAATGAGGTGCATAAAAGCCTGACTTTCCAGGGTGTGCTAGCCTACGCTGTGCTGTGGCTCTTGCTCATGATTGTCTGTGCTGTACACTTGGCTTTCAGGACTACCTAAGATCTGGCTCCACTACGGCTCCTTGCCACATCAGAAAAACAGCTAGGCTCAAAGCAAACCAGTGAAAGTTGGTTTGGTGGCACTCCTTGGGAAAGAAACATTCAGTTGGTGGAAATAAAACCATCAGGTTATAGACTCTGTTAAGGGAGGAAATGAAGAACAGTTTGTGTTACTCATAGTGGTGGTTTTGCACTCAGCTATATGAGCAGTAGAGTAAGGTGGCCTTCACTGGAGTGGGCAAGACCAGGACTTCATGTCATTTTGTGTTTGATTTTCACTGCTATGCATACGTTTTCTATGTCCATACAGAGTTGTTAGAGAAATTACAGTGTCATTACTTTCTTCTCATTTAAAATGAGCTTTTATTATTAAAGCAATACTTGCTTATTTGCAAAGTCATTCAAATGATATAAAACTTTATATGAAGTAAAAAGTGAGTCTTCTTTAGAAAAAATAGGACTGTATGCTACTTAATATTCTATGACTTTCTTTTTTCCCTTTACCAGTTCATAAGGGTTGAGTATACAGCTGTGTGATATCCCACTACTTGAATGTGTCCTAAATTTTTAGCTAATCAACTATCAATTAGGATTTAATTTTTAACCATTATAATAATATCCTTATACTTTTTTCATGGTTTATTTGTAAAAATGTCTTATATGAATTGTAGGGCTTCCAGAAGACATGCACTCTTCAAAAGTCTTTGTCATCTTAGCTGTTAGTCTCGTGTATTGTATCTATAATACTAGCTATGAGATAAATACCTAGAGGTAGAATTACTGGACCAGAAAAATTACAACTATAAAATGCTATAGATATTATTAAATTGCTCTCCAAAATATTTTGCGCTTTGAAGTAAAATCCCTTTCCTTTTCTTTTTGTGAAAAATGCACGGCATAAACCCAATATCTTTTGATTATGTTTATTTTATAGACAGATATGCAGCAAGTCATTTCCATACTATTTCTATCAGATAAGGAGGTCAGTCTACTGGGAGCCAAAGATTACACATAAATGGAAATATTGAACATAACTCTGATTTTCTTTCATAAGCAATCAAGTAAAAATATAAACCAACAAAACAAATATAATGCCTATAAATCCCTTCCATAGTACCTAACCCATAGGATGGTGCTGATTGTAGAAACTATATTGTTGGTGATGGTAGGGGATCATAGTTTTCATTACTGTGGCTGTTGTTAGCACAATTCTTGAGCAATCATGTCTGATCTGAAGTTTGGCACGATCCTACTGGTTTTCCAAGTTGGTTGCCATATTTTAAATCAGAAATTGTAGAAAATTTTGCCAGTGATTCAAAGCATTGTTCTGAGGTTTTAACCGTGCCTCCAAGAGAGAATTGTTTATACTAAGCTTCTTCATCTGGACAGCAGAGCAAGCTGGCACACACAGCTATCTTTGGGATTCTTTGTCTTGGGTCTTTGCCTCCAAAGTATGGCTTAGGATATGGGTTCATAGCCTAAGAGCTATCTCTTTTGCTTTCTTGCTTGGCTAAGAAACAATGGGGATGCAAATTTTTATCAGTCTAATATTTTCCCTTTATAGAGCTTAAATTTGAAATTATAGACAGGATTTCTGAAAAAACATTGGTCAGATCTCAAGAGACTGGACTCCAGTCTTGGCTCCTGTGGGCTTAGAGGTGGTTTGAATCATTTGTTTTGACAAAGCCAGCATCTCCAGGAAGTTGAGAGGAGACCTCAGTGCTATTCCCAGGTCTCATGAAATTAGACCTTGATTAAATTAAATCCTTTTACTTAACTGGTGCACAGTTTCCCCCTAATCAGAGCTGCTCAACTGAACCCAGACAGCCAGGCCGGTACAGTGAAGAGGGAAAGCAGTTCTATGTATATGTGGGGAGGATGGGGTCAGTGGTAACCATTTTTTGTGCATATGAAGTTAGATCTTTGTTTTTTAGTTTTTCCAAGAGAGGCCAGGATATCCCAACTGTTTAAGAGTCATACCCTTGCTCCAAAATGTGACTCCTGTAGGAATGACATGGAAAAGACCTAGGGAGTGAAAAGAGGCAAAAGTCTGTCCCTGGCTCATTCACCCAAGAAGCCCCTACGTAGGAGCTATGAGGAACTGAATGACTCCTTATTTAACAGAGAGGGACAGATTGAGATTGCTACCATAGTGTGCATTTAGACATCGCTCCAAGTTAGGAGTAGACCATCACCTAAAGCCTTCCTGTTACAATGCCCATATTAGAAGATATTCGGAATCAAAGCAAAATCTTCATTTTCCAACCAGTTATAAGCCTTTGTATATTTCTATTCATTCATGTATTGAGTTGTGATGTGCCAAGTCCTATGCTCCATGAGAACAGAGTCAGGTGAAAGAGACATGTTCCTTTCTTTTTCTCCACAAAAGGAGAGTCTGGTGGAGGAAATCAGACTCCTAAACCTAACTCCACAGACACTAGTTAAGCACAACTGTAGACAAGGCACTGGAGGGGCAAAGGCGGTTGTGACCCACCATGCTGGCTAAGCTGTGGTGACATTGGCTGGTAAAGCCTTTGATGCTGTGCAGTGGGCATCATCCCTCTAATGCCATGTTTTTGTTGAGCTTAGTCCCAAAGAAGTGGCCAAAGGGCTATACTTGGCCAATCAGGAGGGATTAACTTGGACTGCATAGTATTAACCCACATAGTTTAAATTTGAATAAAAGGTGTAATCCTTTTAAAAATTTTACAGTGTGTCTGTTGTGATGATTCCATGTATGTACATAAGCACTTTGTTCATATTCACTTCTTCTGTTATCCTTTTAATTCTTTATCTTTTTTGTCTAACCATCATGTACCACTTGGGGAGGTGGGCAGTACTTTGTTTCAGGAACTGTGGCCTCATGAAAGTTGAGAGAGCAATAGAAAACGAGAGAGCCAGAGTTTTTACATGTGTTGCCAGCCCTGTGAGAGCTAAAAGCTTAGAGGAACTAGAGACAGTCCCCCTCAGTCTCTTGGCCACAGGCTGTGCATCTCGTCCCAGTTAATTACCTTCTAAAATCATGCCAGCCCCTGCAGATGGTAAGGGAGTGTCTGCAGCCTGTGTTCCCTGTTGGGGGAAAATGTTGAGGGTCTTTCAATAGTGCTTTTATTCTCAAGAAGAGCACACTGAGTTTCCTGTGGGAATGAGGAACATGGTTGGGGATTTGGTCTAGAACTGGATGGATGATCCTTGTCCACATTTGGAGCAAACCCAGGCACGTGATGCTGCCCGTCTCCCATTTCAAGTCATTCTCTTCTGTCCTGAGTTGCACACCGAAAAACAACTACCACCAGTGCCATATGGCTTCAAAGATCAAAGGCCTTAGTTCTGAATATATTTGTAGCTCACTGTACTTCAAATGTCTTAAATATGTTCCTTCAGATGGGAAGCACGGAGCATTAAAGAGGTAAAGCACATGTGTGTGAAGCATGTATGTGGTCTGCACAGGATGGGGAGAAGTGGGTACCACTCACCCTGTGTTTGTCTTCCTTTCAGGTTCGCATCTTTACATACCTCATTGGACGAGAAGCGGCTTTTGCAGACAACCTCAAATGGATGGCCTGTGCCAACAAAGGTGGGTGGCCCTGACAAGCTCCATTCTGAATTACTGTCTCTTGGATTTGCAGAATTATGATTAGACATGAGAAAGGAGAGAGCTCTAAGAGAAAGGCTTCCATTTTTAATTGACAAATAGTAATTGCATCTATTCTTGGTGTGTGATATTTTAACACATGTATATTATGTGCGATTATCAAATTGGGCTAATTAGCATATCCATCACCACAAAGATTTATCATTTCTTTGTTTTGGGGACATTCAAAGTCCTCTCTTCTAGCTGTTTTGAAATATGCAAAAAATTAAGTATAGTTACTCTGCTGTGCTATAAAATACTAGAACTTAATCTTCCTATCTAAGTATATTTTATACCTGTTAACCAACCCTTCTATATTCCTGCCTATCTTTCCCAGCCTCTAATAACTAATATTCTACTCTTCACTTCTATGAGATCACTTTTTTTTTAGCTTCCATATATGAGTGAGAATATGCAAGGAGGCTATGAAGTCTAACATAAAATCTATTTATACTTGATTATTAACAGATAAATATAACAACTCCTCCCAAAAACATTTATAAATTATGAGGGCATAGTTAAGCTTGTTCACTCTGCTACTTAGTAGCTCAGTAATCTTGAGAGAATTACCATGGTGGAGACCTTTACCGGATCCCAAATATCCATGTTCTTTTACCATTCCTAGCCCCCTTGCAGGTAGACAGGACTCAACACTGGTTCTAGGTAGTAGAAAGTAAAGAGAACCCAACCTGAATAATTTCTGGGCTAAAGCATAGAGGAGTTGGTGTGGGGTGTCCACACTGTTCTGATCCTGTGAGTACGCAGGCTCCATATTTCAGATGGCATAGTCTTGGGATGTAGCACCCTTCCTCAACCTGGGTCCCTGAGTGATCACATGGAGCAGATGCCTTTCACTGTACCCCAGCTATCTGCCAGCTCACAAAGAATACATGGTATACGTCGTGGAGACTTCTGGTTTGACAGGTTTCCGTGGCATAGCTTTGCCCACACAACTAATTAAGTTACTTAACTTGCCCCAGATTTCTAATATTCAAAACAGAAGTGGTAGTAATAGTTCTTCTTTTGATTTTTTTAAATTGGCAAATAAAAATTGTATATATTTATGGTGTACATCATGTTATTTTGAAATATAGATACATTATGAGCTGGCCAAATCAAGGTAGTTAATATATGTGTTGCCTCACACAGCTCTCATTTGTTTGTGGTAATCTATTCTCAGCAGTTTTCAAGTATATAACACATTGTTGTTAATTACAGTCACCATCTTGAACAATAGATCTCTTTAATTTATTCCTCTTCTCTAACTTAAATGTGTCCAGTTCTTCCTGTGATTCTTATTAAATATAAGGACTAATAAAATGGTACATACTAGGCTCAGTAATTCAGTGCTGGGTCATAAGTGCTCAATCACTGTTAGACTTTTGTATTTATAAGTTTAATTGATTACTGATTTCCTGTGGTGTGTCAGAAACAATGTTTTAAAAACAGCAGGAAGGGAAATAATAGGACTCACAATTTAGGAAGGGCTCCCTTTCATTTTTCTAGAAGGCCAAGAGGGCAAAGCACAGCAAGCAAATAGGCAGTAGAGTCCTGACTCTTGGATTTCAAATCTAGCCTCTATCATCCACCAACCTATCTGAGTAGGTCTGAGTTATGTCACTAACAAAAGAAGGGTAGTGACAATGTTTGCTCAATACATGTGTTGTAGGCATGAAAAGTAAAACTAGTAACTCAGTGCCTGACAAATAAGTGCCCCAAATTATCCCTTTGTGTTATGTGAGCTGTGGACCTGTCTTGTTTCTCTTGCCTTGTCTCTGCTCTGAGACTACAGGTTCCAGGAGAGCAGTCACAGGTTATGACTTCATCTTAACTGCCCTGGCAGCACCCAGCCTTACTTACTTACTCAGAGAAGATCCTTCTTAGATATTGGAAAAATACATAAATTAACTATAAATATTAATAAAGGAAGGCAAGTCCTTTTGCATAGTAGTTAGTATTGATGGATTTAGGTTGTCTGTTCTGTTATTGGTTTCCTAAGCCATTGTTACAAAAGTTTTAGTGTTTGGACTTCAGAAGAAGAAAGGAGACTCAATGAAAGGTTTTCAGGTCTTAGCTGCAGTTTTGGTGACTTAAGAAAAAGTTATTTTAGTTGCAAGTAACCAAAGTTTATCCCTGCAATTAAAAAAAAATGAAGTGTTTTGGAAAAAGAGGGGAGTGACTCAGAATCCTGAGTGGGAAGGGAAGGGTTGGGTCTCATGAAAGACTAGGGAGAGATATTTTTGTTTTTCTTTTCCTTTTTGGTTTTTCTTTACATGTACATGGCATTCTTCTTCTCTGTAGATAGACCTTCCCGGCAGTGGTATGTACACAGGCCAGAAATGGTTACCCTACCCTGTATATACCCATCCAACTCACAATGCATTAGTGTGGGCAAGATGTGATATAGGAAAGGAGAACTGATGTCTACTCCACTTGAAACTGACCAGAAAATCTAGATCCTGACTTCTAATCCCCATCACCACCCTCAGAAAAAATTATGACACCTAACTTTGACAGTACTGATCAGGTGTGAGCAGGGGTAAGCCCACAAAGAAAAATTCATAAACTGAGGTGCTCACTGTGAGTAAGGAAGTGGGAAATTCTAACAGCCAAGCAAATAAACCTGTACCCAACTTTCTCTTTGCCTGGCTTTGTCTTTAATTTTCTGCTTCTATTTGGAACAGTCTTTTAAGCAAGTATCAATTTCCTCATCTCAAAAATGAAGGGCTATGTAGGGGGTCTTTAACACTTCATTGAAGATCTAAAATAACACATTCTACAATTATTTTAGTTTGTTGGCTGGCCTGCCTCATGAAAAGGTATCAGTAATTTGCTTGTCTCAGAGGAATGTGTTTGGCCTCGTTTCAGATGTTCTACATGGAAGCAATGTAGGCTTGGGTGAGGGAAATGGAGGAGATCCCAGATATCCTCCAAGTGAAGCGGCCTTTCTGTACATTTGGGAACTTTGTTGGCATTTGAAAACATTGAGTGAGCTGTCCTTTCTTCATTTTTTCCTTTATCCTGTGGTCTTGGAAAACAGTTCCTTTCCATTTTTAAATTTTTTAAAAATTTTATTGTTATTCCTGCCACACCAGATTGCAGTTCTTCCCATTAGCTAGTATGCATTTAGTCATGGGTTGTTGTTTTTACCACTGTCTGTGTCCAGCTGATGAAAACTCAAATTTAAGTACTGTCTTAATCAACTCATACTGCACCATAATTTAGTTTTAGTCATTGTTTAAAAGAATGTTTGAGATTTCCTTTTGAAGACAATTAGGGCCTGGCTATAGAATATAGCCTTTAAGATTTATAAATTCTGAGTATAGCAACTCAGAAAATCCAAGGAGGTAATAGTAACTGCTCAGCTGGATGGACTGTCACATTCCACAATATGGCTACTCTTCCTGTTCAAGTCCAGTTATTTCCTTCCCTACCACAGACAGCCTATCCGAATAGTTTCTCCTTCCTGACTCTGCTTTTCTTCTGAAGGGCTTTGGGAATTAAATGTCATTGTTTGCCTCTCTTCAAAATAGCACTTTCCATCAAAATGTTAGGTTCCAGTCATTTGTGCCCATGTAAACACTGGCTTCAGGTTGCGTCAGTCATGGGGTTTCCGTCCACGTAACATCGGTGAGCAAGTACCCGTCTATGGTCATTAATTAAATCATTGTTTATAGTCTCAGACTGTTATAGTATAAAGGCAGCATAACATTTTTCATCTCAAGTGACATGAGGTCCAAAGCCCACCCCCCTTACATTTTTTCACCCTGACTCAGGCAAGTTCTTCACTGAAATGAAGAATCAGCATTCAGGGACCAAAGCAGACCCAGGCAAATGCCAAGGAGAAGCCCGTTGACTGATTGAGCAGCCTGACCACAGAGTGACCCTGGGAAGGAGCAAGGACCATGGTCAGTGGTCAAGGATCCAGTATCTATCAGTATCTAATCAGAACTTCTTTCTTAGAAATCTGATAGCAATGGAAACAAATTCTTAGCCAATGGACCTCAGACACTTTCCCCTAGAAATGGATGTCTGGGGGCTATTCATAGCCCTTAGTGGTTCTCTGCCTCCTTCAATCTACTAACAAAGTCCAGACAGTCCTGGAGCCCACTGGTTTGTTTCATTTTATGCATAAGTAGGTCCTATCTTGAGGGAACAAGCCCTAATGAGGCAAAGCAACATGCCATTTTAAATACATTAAAACAATCCCTGCTACTGCAGAATGGCTTGTGGAATTTAAAAGTGCTGCATTCACAACATTGTATAAAGAAGTAAACTGGGAAAACAGGAAAGAGGGCCTGACTAGTCTAGATAGTCCATAAAGCCGTGATGACCTTCTCTAATGTTCAATGTGCCAAGATTTTAAGTAAGCATTGGCAGATTCTCCTTCAAAACTTGTGGTTAATGGAGTGTTTTCCAGCTGTGCAAATAAAGAAGGTGCTCCATGTTTGGGTTCTCAACCAATCAGTCATTATTATTAGGTTTAATGGAAATGCCTCATGTGTCTCTCTTGGTTGTCTGCTTAACTTATCTCTTTTTAATGCGTTAAAGGTCATTTTCTCCTTATTTGAAAGAGAGCTAGTGGTCTGAGCCTTCCTTGGGAGTCCAGGCCCCCAATCATTTTCCAATAAAAAATTTCTTAATGTCACTATACCTCTCCAAGTGTTACACACCCCCACCACCAAATAGTTTCAGGTTTATTATGGGAGCAGAATTGTTGCAGGTGGGAGTAAAAGAAAAGTAGCAGTTAAAATATTTTGTTAAAGTCACTATAGTGGCACACATTTGTAATCATGACACTAAAGAGGCAGTGGCAGAAGAATTGCAAATTTGAGGGCATCCTGGGCTACATAGTGAGACCCTGTCTCAAAAAACTAAGGGCTGGGGATGTAACTCAGAGGTAGAGCACTTGCCTAGAATGCAGAGAGCCCTAGGTTCAAAAT